TCAAACCGTTTGCACAATCGAAATCTTTATCATCTATTAATTTAGATTGTTTTCCCGACACTTTTTTTTGGTTCCTATTAAGTTGCCGCTTATTTCCTTTGCGTTTTTTTGTTTGCTCTTTTACTTTTTCAGGTGAAGACTCAATCAACCGCAAAGGGCGCTAGAATTAAGATATATTTTTATAATTAGTATATTTTATTAAAAGATGTAATTAAATATCTTACAAAAACTTATTTCGAAGCAACTAAAAAAGTCCATACGCGGCCACGTTTCCCATAGAGGGGTGTTACAGGTGTAAGTGGCGGTAACTGCTCTGTTGCAGGTGCACGAGGTGTTAATTCTTTCGTGACAGGAGTACAAGTAGATGAATTCCTTGTGATACGTGTGCGTTGTGAAGACATCGCGATGTCTGTACTAGTGGAAGACTGCATCGTCACATTTGTACGTGACAAGGGTTCTTTTCTAATGGGGGTATGTGGTGATCGCTTAGGGGCCGAATAACGTTCCAAAACTTTATTGTTATCACTATCTTCACTATAAGTGGAAGTTTCGCTATCTCCATACGCAACAAGCGCCTTTTTAGTTTTTCCGGAAGAAGAATTCCTTTTATTTCTCTTCCGAATATTTTGTTCCAGACTAGACAACAAGGAACCCTGAATTTTGTAAGATGATAATGGGTTAGCATTCTATTCAGTACTTTGTTAAACTTTTGACGCTATAACGTGTAGAGAATGAAATCAGTAGTTACAGTGTAACAAATCATTTCATTTCTTTCATGAAAATTCCAGAAGCTAATAAAAAATATAGCTCTTGATACGATATTTGCTTCATCCTAATTTCTCAAGCAGTTCAAAACTTTTACTACATTTGGAGTATGCAATGAATTCGATGAAACTCTTTGTATTTTTCTGATAGGAGAACCACGAATATTGTACACAAGCCGCTCTCCACTCCAAGTTTCCATACGCGGTTTGACAAAGCGACCGCTTCTAGTAGTTATCAGCAATGAAAGTTCTAAATAAATATATAACATCAATCTAAATTATGCAAAACCACATTTTAATTAAAAAATAAATTTTCAATCAGTAAAAATATTAACAAAATACAGAACACAACGGAAAACGAAGTGAATTATTATAAAAGCAAAAGCTAAATATTTGCTATCTCTTATTAAAAAAATTGTCAAGATAAATACTTTTACCACTTTCATTGTATTCAGCATCTACTGCTGACTTGTTCTGCTTATGATTTTGCTTTTCTTCTGATGTAACTAAAAAAATTATTGTTACTAAAAATAATACAAAGTGCATGAAAATTCTTTTATAAAGTAATTATCTAGCTTACTTCATTTTTCTTTAATGGTTTTAAAATTACATATACTTTCAAATAAAACTAGTGTTCTATGAATGCCTCTTTTTGATAAATTTCGATTTATTTTTAACTTTAGTCGGATACTATTGACAAATGTGCAACTATTAGACATACTTTTTTTACAAAAGTTGCTGTTTTGATTCGACACAGAACATATAGCCCTTTGGTTTTGATGGATCGAATTTTCAATATCATCTTCATGAATTTCAGATATAGTTAATGATTGCTTTGGGGGTAACTGAGGTTCTCTAAAATCAAATTTCTTGAAAAATAAATATGCAAAAAAAAGAAAAAATTTTCATTAGTCCAAAATTTCTTCTAAAAACGTGTGAACCGTGAATTTGGTTAGAATTGCAAATAAAAGTGAATATTTTCATTCGATTCTACTACTTTATTTATCATAGAATACGAAAAATACAGCCCCCATGACAATTATTTAGATAATTTATTTTTGTGAAATCTTGAAATTTCAACAGTAAAAGAGATAGGAAACTTACATGTATGTGCTAAAAAATGATGATAATATGTTGTGCCAATCTTCAGGAAATCCACTTAAAAACTGAGACACGAATTCTTTTGGAAAGCCTTGAAAACATTATTTTTTATTTTGATTATGCCAAGTAATTAGCCCAATGAATTTTTTTCTGCTCTACAGTCAGAAAACGAATATTATCACGAGTGAAAAAGCCAATAGAAAAAAACTTAGTTATGCCATTATAAATTTTACCTTGATGTGCGGCGAGTAAGGTATTTATGGGCCCAATAACTTCATATACTCCTGTTTCAGTATGTAACAAACGATTCCCCTTCACTGCAATTACAGGTGATGTCGTCCAGTCCAAATCCCTGTCTCTAAAAATGTAAAAGTAGCTACAGCGGATGCGATTACTGCAAAGGTTGATAAATATGCTCATTTTTTTGTTTCAAATTATCTTCAAGGTAACTGATAATAATAAGAAGAAATGAAAGTGAAACTGATAAAAAAAACTCAAATAAATACTTACGGTCGAAAGCCGACAATGACAAAAGCAAAATTTGTGAAGAGTTTTGAATGACCCAAATCATAAGCAGAAAATCGAAGTGTCCAATTATACAAAGATATTGGCTCTAAAAAAGTCATGTTTAATAGACATAATTAAAAAATACCTGAATACTTATTATTTATTTCAATACTTGGTATTTTGTAGTGTCTCATTTGCCCAAAAGATCATATATAACAAATAAAAATATACTCAGGCGTTTCTGCAGAGGAAGGAGTGGCATCTTAAATAAAGTGGTTTCATCTGACTTCTCTTCATGTATATCATGTCTTCCAAGCATTTTGGCTTCAGATACATCCGAAGGTTTATTAGAATCAGATACTGATTGATATTCGAAACCAGATTTAACGATTTGTTTCTTCTTATCACGATTTTTTAATGATTCCAAAGTTTCTGGAGATGTGAAAGTAAGATCGACTGATTTCTTCGAAGATCTATAGGATGATAGCTTACGGCTAGCATCCTTGTCATGCATGGATTCTCCACCTTCATATTTCTCGTATGACAGAGCAAACATTGATTGCGACCGCGTTTCATTCTTGTCTAAAATAGTAGCCATTTGAAATTTACAAAGGGATGTTTTTAGTTTCGTCACATAAATATTGATCCAATTTCAATTAAAAAACGTACATAACATCCATTCAGAGAAGAAGACTGCAAATTCTACAAAAGTTGCTGTGAAAATTCTTTCAAAATTGTAAAAAACAATGGAGAAAAATCACTTTACTTGCAGCAAAAGTTGACTTTTGACGTCCATATACATGGAAAAACTTGCTGATATCAGGAAATATCGTGCCAAATAATCCAGAATTCAGTCCCTGCGTTGAATTCGTATCTCTATGTTTTGATAAATTTCTTTGAAAAGCAGACAATAGTATCTGCCAATCATGTGGAAAGCCATTTTTGAAGCGCTCAACTAATGTTGTTGGATAGCCTGTAGTAATCAATTTTCTTTCAAAACAAGAATGCAAGTGTGAAAAACCAAATATTTTGCAGAGATTTCTACTGACAGTTCAATAAATGATAAATAGTCTTGAAATTTGTTGACAGAAGAAAAACAGAATAATGAAGTTAGTAACTTTCTAATGCTCTAAATATAACGGATTATGCATAGATGATACTCAATAACGCTAAAATAAGAATGAGAATGAAAATTACGTAAGGATGCTATCACACTGTAAGATGAATGCTGCCATCAAAAGGTGAAAGTAATTTCATATCGTCTGTCATTGAAACAAATGCTATAAGACTCACTAAATAAATGATCAATTTATCATTCCTTGCACACTACAAGAAAATATGAGAAATTTCTTCGCAGTTTTTTTTACAACCACTGAAAACGCCTTGCGAATAAATACAAAAAATTCATTACCGAGTGCGTGTGCAGCATCCTGATCAAGCACCCCACGTAAATTATACACTTTTCCATTGCTGGAAATTAAAATTTGAGAATTAATTCTGTCCTTTATCGTCGTGCTGCGCCAATTCCGAAGTGCTAATTCAGTTTGATCTTTTTCTCGATATCCTTCCACACAAACTGATAATTTATTTCTTTCACTATGAATAAACTGAAAATCTCATAAATACTGAACAATAAGCAAAATAAATTACAATCAAAACTGAAATGGTTGTTATTTTGAGCATGTGGAGAATACATTTCCGTAACCCACATCACGATTGAATCAAAGAGCAACAACTACCATGGTAAAAGAACAATTCAAGAGCTTTGAAACGAAATATTGCAGAAATAAAAAATGGTTGTAAACATGTTCAACTCAAATTTACAACTTTAATATATATTAAAACACAGCTTATGGCGAAATTGGAGAAAAAATAATAAGAGCAACTGAATATTCAAAAGTTAATTTCGATACTTCAATACTTTAAAAATTGATAAGCTTGAAATAACCTTAAAGATCCATAACTTTAGCTCGATTACTTCAGTTTGCTTTTCTTTTGGATGAGGCATTTACTATTTTCAGTTCATTCAAACTAAAATTTTGGAAGCTAACGATTACATCAATACTGTAACAACTTCTGTAATTCAAACAATATTTTACGCAAACTATATAATCTAAAATGATCAATGATATTTTAAGATTATGAAAATATGTAAAAAGAAAAAGAAGAAAACGTGATATTCATTTAAATGAATTAAAATGAACCTCAAAGGCAGTTAGTGGAGTGAGTATTCTTTATCACACTGAACTCCTGAAATCACAGCATATTAATTTTGCTACATTATATTCATCATTTTTAAAAGCAATACATGAAAGGAAAGATACTAGCCACTTACCGTTGCGCACAGAGTATTATTTGGTTAGCTGTACTAAAATTCGCGCTTAAATATTACGGCTCATTCATATATAAAATTTAAATTTTAGAGACGATATGCAAATTTTTGTCCATTGCATTTTTTTTTTGCAGTTTTAGTGATTATCATAATTACAGATATAATTTGTAAGTTAGAATTTTTGTTTAGTAGTGACAGTAATTGCCAGTACTAACACTAATAAATGTATTCAAATTTAATTGTCACAGCTGTTATGAAAAAAATTTATTCGCTGTAGCAATTACTTTTGAGATTAATATTAATTTTGAATTGCTCGAAACACTAAAGTGCGCAATAAACATTAAAAGAAGCAAAAAATGTATAATTAAATTACCTATTCGTTGTGTTTTGTAGCCAAAATGTTTTAGAAATTGTAAAAATTCAGTTGAAGTTGGAAGTATATTACGTCTATTGATAATTTAGAAGGCTATTTCGTATTCAACAAGGTCAGCAGTTCAATTTGTAGCTAAACTCAACAAATTAAAAATACTTTACTGAAATTACACTAAGAAATACTTACTGCTTGCTTTTCAAATTTTTAATGAATTCTTTTGAATAAATTTCAAATAAATTTTTATTCAAGTACAACTGGTCTTTCACATCAATTACATTATCTATTATGCTGATATCTAGTATCTCATTGCATTTAAAGAAAGCTGTTCAAGTTATTTCCATCTTCTAGCTTCAATACAAGTTTTTGTTAAGGCTTAACCTCTGACTTTTGATACAAAATGAGCACATTTCCTAATATTTTAACAAAATTAAAAGTTATTTTTCAGATGGCTCTAATAATTAATTTTGTTACAAAATCAGTACAAAAATAATGATTAACTTGTATTTATGTGACTGTTTGATTTGTATTTCAAGTATTACATGCAAGTTAGCATATTACGATCTCACATAGAACTGATCATGCAACAATAACTTCAAATAAATCGTTTCATTTATTCAATTCAACGATAAAGTAAATATTATTTATCTAATATTTTTATATTTCTAAAACTGAGCAACAAAACAATTGACAGAATACATAATATTATGCGAAAATTTGATATTAACATGCAGCTTCAATTTTAGTCTCAGAATCAATCTCCACCATAAATCCTGTAAATCGAGCAGTTGAAAACTTTTTCTTTGCATTGAAACTTTTGAATAACTACAAATAAAATTTTGACGCGTTTTACTTTTTTATATTTATTCACTTTAATATTAACAAATAAAAATATTTGTGCATAAAAATTATTATTATTGCGATGTAAAAGTATTATTTTAACTTATTTTAAGTCATATCAAGATATCTGTCTTACACCGGTCTAATAATTACGATCTATCTCATAATCACGACATTTGTAGTGAGGGATCGAGAATGAGTACGCATATGTGTATGCAAATTTGATGCTCGATTAAATGATTTCTTGCAAACAGTACAAGTATATGGTTTTACCTGCAATAAACATTTGAATATTATGCAGATATAAGGATAAATCCATACAAGCAAACAATAAGTAAGTATTACTACTTTAGCTTAGAAATGTGAAAGTGATTAACACCAAGTGTTATCGAGAACTGACGAGGGTGAATGCTAATAAGAATGCTTAGGCTTAGTTATGAGAGCTTGAATTAAAAAAATAATTCATAATAATAATATAATTTCTATTCATTTCATTCCTTAAACCATTTTAATAATTAAAAATATAATTTTGTAGCACTGTATTTTTTATATTTTTTGACTTTAATATAAACAAGTCTGACAGTGACTTTTTTCAGCATCGCTTAGAGCAAAAATTATATAATTTTTTCAAATTTGTTCGGACATTATTAATTTTGCAGAGATCAGTGCGAGAAATAAATCAATAAAAATAATAGTAATAGCAAAATTAATAAAAATAAATTTTGTATTTTATTACTCATTAATTAATAGTAGTCAATTAATTAATTCAAATAATAAATGATGAAAACTTATTAAAAACAGAAAATATTTTTAGTTAAAGTTATTTTGGTTAGTATAGATCATATCGAAAAATTTTTTTAAAACTCAATATTGATTGATTGATTTGAAATGATAAATTTTCTGTTTTTCATATAAATAAACCTGATTTTTGCTTCTGACAAAAATAAAGTATAATGTATAAAATTTTTTAGGCAATTAAGATATTTTCGTGTCAAATTTCAATACCCAAAAATAAATATAAAATAACTGTTTAAATATAACTTTAAATTATAATTATTAGATTTATATTATTTCATTTAAATTGTTTTGCTAAATTTATTATAAATAGTATAATGGAAAATAAAGTATTACTGTAGTGTGCGTTAATCGGTGACGAGTCAAATTGCCAGGTTGCCTAAATGCTCGGCCACAGTGATCACAACGAAAAGGTTTCTCACCTGTATGAATCCTCTGCAAAAATTTTTCATATAACATTTTACAGTAAATTTGAAAATTATCTTCATGCTATATCTCAATTTTGCTTATTCAAATATTTTTGTTGCTAACTTTTCCTAAAATCCAACTTTAATTTCGTTGTTATTCATTTTACAAACTATTTTTTGAAATAATACTGAGAAAATAAATATTTCTAGTTTCAAATTAAAAAAATTATTAATTACATCAAATTTTAAATAAGTTTTGTTTCTTTTGAAATACATTTTACTAGGCAATTTATTCTCATCTCACAACAGCTTAAGTTTATCATGCAAAAACTTTATTGACTTCAAATTAAAATTTTTTTGTTAAATATGCGACCAAAAACTGAATTTGTAGTTTAAACTGAAATAACAATTGTTATCTTCAATATTTGAATGCTGTGCAAATATGGAAAAAAA